CTACAGGGAAGATATCGCGCCTAAGGACACCTGTGCAAATGTAGACAGGCTGAGTGGTCTAGTGGTATGATTCTCGCTTAGGGTGCGAGAGGTCCCGGGATCGATCCCCGGCTCAGCCCGATTTTTGTCCCCACTTAAATCGATGCTACAGGGAAGATATCGCGCCTAAGGACACCTGTGCAAATGTAGACAGGCTGAGTGGTCTAGTGGTATGATTCTCGCTTAGGGTGCGAGAGGTCCCGGGATCGATCCCCGGCTCAGCCCGATTTTTGTCCCCACTTAAATCGATGCTACAGGGAAGATATCGCGCCTAAGGACACCTGTGCAAATGTAGACAGGCTGAGTGGTCTAGTGGTATGATTCTCGCTTAGGGTGCGAGAGGTCCCGGGATCGATCCCCGGCTCAGCCCGATTTTTGTCCCCACTTAAATCGATGCTTCAGGGAAGATATCGCGCATAAGGACACCTGTGCAAATGTAGACAGGCTGAGTTGGTCTAGTAATAGATTCCGCTTAGGGTGCGAGACGCGTCCGGGATCGATCCCCGGCTCAGCCCGATTTTTGTCCCCACTTAAATCGATGCTTCAGGGAAGATATCGCGCATAAGGACACCTGTGCAAATGTAGACAGGCTGAGTGGTCTAGTGGTATGATTCTCGCTTAGGGTGCGAGAGGTCCCGGGATCGATCCCCGGCTCAGCCCGAATTTTGTCCCCACTTAAATCGATGCTTCAGGGAAGATATCGCGCATAAGGACACCTGTGCAAATGTAGACAGGCTGAGTGGTCTAGTGGTATGATTCTCGCTTAGGGTGCGAGAGGTCCCGGGATCGATCCCCGGCTCAGCCCGATTTTTGTCCCCACTTAAATCGGTATGCATTTAGGGGAAATATATCGCCGCACCAACGCGACACCTTGTGCAAATGTTTAGACCAGGCTGAGTGGTCTAGTGGTATGATTCTCGCTTAGGGTGCGAGAGGTCCCGGGATCGATCCCCGGCTCAGCCCGATTTTTGTCCCCACTTAAATCGATGCTTCAGGGAAGATATCGCGCATAAGGACACCTGTGCAAATGTAGACAGGCTGAGTGGTCTAGTGGTATGATTCTCGCTTAGGGTGCGAGAGGTCCCGGGATCGATCCCCGGCTCAGCCCGATTTTTGTCCCCACTTAAATCGATGCTTCAGGGAAGATATCGCGCATAAGGACACCTGTGCAAATGTAGACAGGCTGAGTGGTCTAGTGGTATGATTCTCGCTTAGGGTGCGAGAGGTCCCGGGATCGATCCCCGGCTCAGCCCGAATTTTGTCCCCACTTAAATCGATGCTTCAGGGAAGATATCGCGCATAAGGACACCTGTGCAAATGTAGACAGGCTGAGTGGTCTAGTGGTATGATTCTCGCTTAGGGTGCGAGAGGTCCCGGGATCGATCCCCGGCTCAGCCCGAATTTTTGTCCCCACTTAAATCGATGCTTCAGGGAAGATATCGCGCATAAGGACACCTGTGCAAATGTAGACAGGCTGAGTGGTCTAGTGGTATGATTCTCGCTTAGGGTGCGAGAGGTCCCGGGATCGATCCCCGGCTCAGCCCGAATTTTTGTCCCCACTTAAATCGATGCTTCAGGGAAGATATCGCGCATAAGGACACCTGTGCAAATGTAGACAGGCTGAGTGGTCTAGTGGTATGATTCTCGCTTAGGGTGCGAGAGGTCCCGGGATCGATCCCCGGCTCAGCCCGAATTTTTGTCCCCACTTAAATCGATGCTTCAGGGAAGATATCGCGCATAAGGACACCTGTGCAAATGTAGACAGGCTGAGTGGTCTAGTGGTATGATTCTCGCTTAGGGTGCGAGAGGTCCCGGGATCGATCCCCGGCTCAGCCCGAATTTTGTCCCCACTTAAATCGATGCTTCAGGGAAGATATCGCGCATAAGGACACCTGTGCAAATGTAGACAGGCTGAGTGGTCTAGTGGTATGATTCTCGCTTAGGGTGCGAGAGGTCCCGGGATCGATCCCCGGCTCAGCCCGAATTTTTGTCCCCACTTAAATCGATGCTTCAGGGAAGATATCGCGCATAAGGACACCTGTGCAAATGTAGACAGGCTGAGTGGTCTAGTGGTATGATTCTCGCTTAGGGTGCGAGAGGTCCCGGGATCGATCCCCGGCTCAGCCCGAATTTTGTCCCACTTAAATCGATGCTTCAGGGAAGATATCGCGCATAAGGACACCTGTGCAAATGTAGACAGGCTGAGTGGTCTAGTGGTATGATTCTCGCTTAGGGTGCGAGAGGTCCCGGGATCGATCCCCGGCTCAGCCCGAATTTTGTCCTCACTTAAATCGATGCTTTGGTTAAAGTGTAACGACGTGTGGACAGGGTGAGGGGACATTCGCGCAAGTACAGCATCGGAGAGGTGGTTGCCCTTCCTTGCGTCAGAGACCCTCGCAAACCTAAGAGGCGTTAGAAGGGAGAGGTCACCATATTCATAACGCGGGTGACAGCATCAGCTAGCTCTTGATTCTAAGATATGATATAGGGTATGGGCCAAGAACATTATTGGTGGGTGACAAGAACTGTAAGCTGCTGATAAGATTCGATAAGGGGCGTTAGAAAGGTGAGGTCATCGTATTCACAGCGCAGGTCACAGCATCAGGAGGCGTAGGTTTCATCAAGTGATAAGAGGGTGAGATATCAACCGTGGGTGACCGGAGACGATAACTACTGATAGGGGCTGATAAGGGAAGGCTGTTCAAGAGAAATCACGCTACCAATCATGAAGATTTCGTGGTGAGGACCTTGATCGTGGGTGACAGGTAACTTATCAATCGATAAAAAGGATAAGAGACCATCTGCCCTACATTGTTATCCCTTAATACCGCTTCAATGCCGAGTATTAGAGGCGCTCAGTGTGTGAACTCTTCCCTTTAGCCATCTCTTTCCTGATAACACTAGGAAATTAACTCATCCCACTATACTGCTAAATATAATGTTGATGTTGACGAGCGGGGGAGGGGGGCTTCATGGTGCGGCTGAAACGGGAAAATCGGCAAATTTGCCTGCTAAGTGATTTGTTATGGGTTAGCGGTCGCAACTGAAGCAAAATAAGGAGGGAACCCATCAGCTGCTAGTGAGGAGCTTCTGTCGGTGATAACATTCGGGCTCTCCGCGCAACACGCACTTTGACATAAACAAGCAATGTAAAGGTCTTCTCTTCAGTGCCTCCCGTGACCCGCAATTGTGGCTCTCCCAGGTGTTGAGGACTCATCCGGACTAATTCAACTTTACCCATTCTGATGTCGCAACTGCGGTCCTTAATGATATGGTGCAGCCTTCTCACGGTTGAAAGTCTGTAGTAAGCAAGGGGACCAGATTTTGGTAGATAATGATTGATATTGAGCTTTTTTTTTCCACTCATTCTGCTACATTTTATTAAAAAAAATCGCTGCTACCATTTGGCTTATTTGGTGCACTCTATCTAGCCCAAGGAGGAGTGCCTGGCGAACCCAGGTCGGCCGGGCGAAGCTGGGGCCTGTGAAAAACAGAAGGAGGAGCACCCTGCGGCAGCCGGATGATCCGACTGGTTTTTCATAATTCATTTGTCATCTTGAATGTTGTGATGTGACATGAGGTACTCGTAGATCGGTCCGTCACGATGGCCTGTCACCTGCGTTCGAGTGTCCGCTTTCAGCTTAACTTTAGTTCACAAAAGAGAGCAGTTTCCGGTGGTACTACGATTAGGAATTAACTAAACCATCTAATCAGCAAAAGTAATAAATCATCGATGTTCTTAGAAAAAATGAATGGAGGGCGAGAGGCCCGAAGTATTCAAAGAATTTGTCAAAGGTTACAGAGAAAAGACTCTCAAAGGTTTTTGACATCCCTGGAAATAGACATGAGTAGCCTGTGCGGGTCAGGACTTCAGCCAGCTTGACAGGATTCCCCTAATGCCCACCCTCTTTCTACTTTCCACCCTCCTTCTACTTTCCCCGTTCTGCCAACTTTCTGACGAATCTCATGGATTTTCCTTACAATTAGCTGATGGTGCTAGATCAATAAAGTTTGTCTATTCTAAGACGCTAACAGATAGAATACATTGCTTTAATAAAGATGAGAACGATTACGGAGACTGAAACATTTTCTCTGTTCATTTCAACATTACTAGTGAGATCTGTAGTCTGGAAATATACTGTACAACGTCGCGTTGAGTACCGCTCTGAAGAGAACTATTGTGCCAATAAATATGGCAATATTCACCATCATCAAAACCGTAGCGGACGATCCTAGAAAAGGAATACAATCCCCACTGAGAGAAATCTCTGCAAAGAGTGCTGTAAAATAAAAAAAAATGATGCGCATAAGCTATAAACTACCGTAGATTTTTTCTTGTCGCCATGCGTCGTAGAAATGACTGGGCGTCACGCCTTTAGTTTTGCCTTCAATGGGACCACCGCCCCCTGAAGACGATGGTTTGGCATTGCATTGCTTCGAGTGGAATGAACACAGATTGTCAAAACCCACCTTCAGAGCCGAAGTCGGGTTGGTTAGCGTAAGGAACAAGCACGTCCTGAAAGCATGCTTTTACCACCTGTGAACTATATCTCGATCGCAATATGTGAGCATTGGAGTGCAAATGAGAATTTGTAGGCACAGGTTGGCTTACAGAAAAATTAGTAGAAGAGCCGTTAAACGGTTCTGAGTTGGTTTGCCACCTTGACGAGCACGTCGTGAATAGAGACGCAGGGACGCTCATATTAAAGAGAGACCGGATATCGCCAGAAAACACAAACGTGAACATCTGCCCATCCTACTTTGTACGGTCCACTAACAATAAGACTTCCAGTGCGTGTTTGTGTCGTCCTCTATCAGCGTGATATTGATATGATACCAGCTGTAAGGGTTCGAGAAGGGACATCAGAAGAGGAGGATTCATGGTTGGGGAAAAGTTTCACCAGTTTCATAGCATGGGTGACAGGAGCAGCGGAATGTGAATCCTAAGAACAGTTCCAGGATTTAGGGAGTGTTGGAACACTATCTGTTGGTAACAGGTACCGATAGGTAGTGTCAAAAGCGGAGGATTCATGGTTGGGGAAAAAGTTATGGCAAATGAGGAAACCTGATGCGGGCAATAAATGTCATCAAACCTATGGGTATGGGCAGCAGCATCGCTATGTCCACAAGAACAGACGTTGGATTTGGTATTGGGAGATCGATTGTTGGTGACAGAAAGTTATATAACGCTAGATGAAGGCTGATGATAACACGTGAAAAGGGCAACTTCGTTCGCCTCCCACATGCAAGCGCAAAAGCCTTGACTACACTCACATTGCCTGGCTGATCATTCATGGTTAGCTTCAAGAAACCACTCACTTCAATCTCAATAGCAAAAGTTTTCTGGGTCTTTTGTCGGCTCATACGCTATTTCTTCAGCTTTTTGTCCTGTATTCAAACGATCATCGCGGTCACTGCTCGCTGGACCAGTCTCATTCGGACTCAGTGTAGGTACTATATCTGTCAGTAAATTCCCTGTTTCTATGTAATCCTCGTCCGTAGTGCCACTGGGGGTTTCCTTCTGAATTAGCGATGTCGTTACTATCACTAGACTGCATAGAGGGTAAACCAGGGCACATCATTGGTTGGGAATCTTAGTAGAGTCCGTACACCCCCCCCCTTTTTTTTGGGGGGGGGTGGTATGACCCTCCCTCCGGCCCACTGGCCCTCCTAATCAAATCAAACCGGGGGGGGGAGGGTAAATAGCACATGTGAAATGGAAAAGGAAAAGCCGCGAGACAATACGACCCCCCTTCTACCAATTTCAGATTTTCCCCAAACTTCCTGCCACTTTTTCCAAAAATTCTCAAAAACTTCCCTACTTCCCGAAAACTACTGTCGAGCGGGAGGGGCGGGAGGGACGGGAGGGGTATATAGTACGCATGAAACAGGAAAATCACGAAAAGTCAACCACCACTCCCACCACTCCTAGAAAGGCCAGAAAGTAAATACGACCCCCCCTTTTTACAACGTCCGTGAAGCGAGAAAATCAACTATCAAAATAAATTTTTCTCAGCCCAAATACGACCCCCCTCTCCTGGCGGCCAAATACGACCCCCCCCCTGTTGGGGATTCCCCAACAACGATGTGCCCTGGGGTGAACGAGCTTCTCATAAGCTTGAACCACATCTGTTTTCGCAGTTGTCTCCATTGCAGTTGTTGGCACTGATGTTGTTGTTTGAAAGCATTCCTGGAGGGCATTGCGGATGCTGTCCTAAAATAACAGTCTCGGTTATACCTTTGGACTCCTTTTCGTGCGTGCAGATAGTAGCAATCCCACAAAACTGATGAAGGCTCATGAACTTATTGGCTCTGAATCGAAAGGCCGAAACAGCATACTCATAGCATCGCAGAACAATATCCTTCCCATCCCTTCCACCGACTCCCTTTCGAATATTATCACTTCGTCTCACCCTCCATCAATGCTCCCGCCACGTACTCTAATAATTACGGTAACAAGCGATTGCCAATTTGATCTATGGGGTTCAAATAGATTCTGAGCATAATTTTGTTAATCCGACACGCACTCTTCAAGCTGACTGCATGCTCACACTAGTTATATGGTGGTGAAGTCCTTCCCTCCATGTGGTGCAACGGGAAACTGCTCGCTTTTGCGGGCTAAGCAGAACATGGACATTTCAGAAAGCAGGTGACAATCCTCCGTGAGATGCTGGCCTACGAACATCCATGTCACACCACAATGTTCAAGATGACAAGCGAATTCACAATGACAAGCGAATAATGATGCTACTGCGTCCGCGGGAGCCAACGCCACTCGCAAAGACCGGCGATTGTAAAAAGTATGCGAAGGTCTCCGGATGCAAGGACGGCGTCGGGGACAACCAGAATACCGGAATTCTGGCAACATTGGGAAGGCTCACGTTGCAAAGCTGGAACGTTGACCGGGCGCTCACACGAGCTGGCAGAAGCGTTAGAAGAATCAAACTATGCGTCGCGCAGAAGACGATGTGGTTTCGCTGTCTGTTGAGAGATTGGTCGCGGCCTTACAAGGGAGATCTTTCAGGTCGTGGCGCGCTTTTTGGAAATGGTGTTGCTTGTTGTAGGGGTCCATACAAGGATCACAAAAATGGGTTTCATTTTTGCTATGCGTTTCTGGGAGGTCAAAAACTGAGTGAAAAGAATTTGACAAGAATGGGCGATTTTAACTATCTTAATGGGCTCCGTTCTGATTGTAACTTCGAGCATGCATAGTTTATGAGGTGCTCGTTAATTAGGCCTCGAAAATAGTTTTGAATAAAGTCAAAATGTAAGTATCATGTAGTAACACACTTGGCATGCACCGACGCAACAGTGATGTTTTGTCAGCGGTCCCCTCATGCTCACTGTCGGCGGATCGGATGGCGTAGCGGATAACTCAATGGATTTTGGATGGGACGACACGGACTTTGTGGATCGGATCCTCCTTGAGGCTTGAAGGCTCTTTTGCATTTTTTCAGCTTTCTATTCAGTTCCCATGTGTCTAGCAGTGGAAATAAGCCAAGTATATGCCATTTGAAGGCATATTCTTCATTCTGATACCTTACAAACCAGCTCGGTTGTGTGGAGAAGCCTGTTTACGCCTGGGTGGCCGCTGGGTATGTCGAAGAGCATCCTGGACCGTTCCTTTTCAACTCCGACCGACTTCGATTCAACGAAGAATGTGTTGTCGTCCCTTGTCGAGAAGACAGTAATTGTTCCTCTTTGGCGTTTTTCAGGTGTATTGGCGCAATAGATGCATATGCTTCACATGTTTTGTTGAACTTTACCACAGTTGAAAAATTTGCCTACCAATGAGGGGAAAGTTAGGTAACGAGACGAGAACATTCCGGAAACAGGCTTCTCCACACAACCGAGCTGGTTTGTAAGGTATCAGAATGAAGAATATGCCTTCAAATGGCATATACTTGGCTTATTTCCACTGCTAGACACACAGGAACGCGAATGAATAGAAAGCTGAAAAATGCAAAAAATTTGCCGCAAGGAGGATCCGATCCACAAAGTCCCGTATCGTCGTCCCATCCAGAATCCATCGAGTTATCCGCTGCGCCATCCGATCCGCCGACAGTGAGCATGAGGGGACCGCTGACAAAAACATCACTGTTGCGTCGGTGCATGCCAAGTGTGTTACTACATGATACTTACATTTTGACTTTATTTCAAAACTATTTTCGAAGGCCTAATTAACGAGCACCTCATAAACTATGCATGCTCGAAGTTACAATCAGAACGGAGCCCATTAAGATAGTTAAAATCGCCCATTCTTGTCAAATTCTTTTCACTCAATTTTTGACCTCCCCAGAAACGCATAGCAAAAATGAAACCCATTTTTGTGATCCTTGTATGGACCCCTACAACAAGCAACAAACCATTTCCAAAAAGCGCGCCACGACCTGAAGATCTCCCTTGTTAGAACCACTCTGTGTGAAAGGCCAAACACTACAAGTGGTGTGGCTGTAATCCTGTCTCAGCGATTCCACTCAATTACTAGCGTTATTCGTTTTGTCGACCACCTGATGAAAATTGTCGTCGCTGTCGAGCAACGGCATTACCACTTTTTTTCTACCCCACAAACTGGATGCTCCGGGCAGTCCAAGGACAAACTTCCGGGCTCTGCTGGATCAGAAGCTAAGGTGCCAACGAGAGTTGGTATAATTGTAGCTGCGACTCGAATGGGCACGTAGGCATTGCAAAGGATTGCTACGCCTTCGGATTTGGTTGTAGATCCCAGGGCCGACGGAGAGGAATCCTTGAGTATGCAGACACGCACACCTCTTCGTTCTTAACACAAGGTTTCGCGATCGTGTCTCCCATCCCATCGCGATCTACAGCGTCAGTACCAAAACAGATGTACATTTTGTCTTTATCAGACATGGCGATCAAAGACTCGAAAGCCAAGACAGTGCCATATGAAGCAGCAGCAGCACTAAGTGCACAGATGCTTTCTGATTCGCACCCTGGAATTCGCAGTTCTCACACTGAAACGGGCGGAGCGACACAGTCTTGGGAGAGCTATGTGGTGGCGATTGAAGGAAGCGTACGCTTCTGTGTTTTTCGCGTTCCATCACGTGAGGTTGTGCTAACGAAACCTGGAAAGAGGCCGTCAAATCGATAACCCAGGGCGCTCGCTCCGAACTGGCACAACGAAGCCCAGACGACGGAGTGGCGAGGAGGCCTGGCTTTGAACAGACTAAGTTAAAGCAAACCTCTACGAGAAGAAGAGGCTTTACCACTGTTTCTCGGATGCAGGTCGGCCGACAACCTGCAGAAGTACCGGGAAGCGAGGAGTGTGGCAAAGAAGGGTATGGCTGCTGCGAAGACCACTCACTTCGTGTCAGCGAGAAACTGTACACACGCGACGGTGAGCGATACCTATACGCACTTGCCGAATCTCTCAGTTGCCAGGCCGAAGATATAGAGAAGTTTTTAGCATAAATGACGAGAATGGCCTTTTTCTGGTGAACCGAGAAAGAGTGTTGCAAAGATAGCGTGATCACTTGAAGGCAGCGTTTCCCCTTATCACCTCACTCTTACCACACGACGTGGAGAGAAGCAGCAATGGAACAACCGCACCATCAGGCAACCATTAGAAATGAAGTTGGGCGTCGTGGTCGCCAGGTGGGCGGGCGGTCGACTCTTTACTAGCGATAGGCGCTATCCTCTCGCCTTTCTGAGATGCAAAACTAGTACATACTGCATCCTTATGGGGAGGGCTATGATACCCAGAAAGGGCGTAGGAACATCAAGTGAATGTGGGCGCTGCCTTTAAAGATCATTTCAAAAGTATTCAGCCGTGCGGCTATCTCCGCTGCCTCACCAAGGTATGGTCCCCGTTCAGATGGTATATTTGCAGGGAACAGAAGCGGCTCTAAGAAAGATGAAGCTTGGCAAAGCACACGCCCAGCAACAAGCTGTAACAACATCAGCAGACCGCTCGCCCTTTTCTGGAGAAGCATCGAGAGAAGCAAAAGCCTGCGCGCTCTTGGACTAACGCTCTTGGAATTGGAGAATGTATTTGATCCTGTGTCGCGTGAAATGATATGGGACCCCTACGGCAGCAGGATTGTCCGAAGAGCTCAGTGAAAGTGTGCGCATCCTTTATTCAGGCCCCGAAAACCAAGTGCGTTCACCAGCGAAAGTTACAATGGAGTCCCCCATCACCATCAGGGTACATCAAGGCTCTGTGCTTTCCCACTTCTTTTCGTTGCCGTCGCGGAAGACGTCTTACTAGGTCTCCAAGAAGAAGTTAACTGGGTGCTTTATGCTGATCGCGAGACGCTTGCCTGTGAAGATAAGAGCACACCACACCAGCAGGTGAAGGCTTATGTCGACCACCTGGATACCTTTGGACTCAAGCCTTCGGACCC